CTGTGTTTTCATCCCGGTCATTCTACTCGTCGTGACCGGCGTCAACCGCATCGTCACAGACGATTTCAACGACTTTGGACTAGTTACTCCGTTGCATATTCGCTAAAACTGCGGCGGCTTCCGCATTATAAACAGAGCCATTTTTGTTCTGGGGTTTACATTGCTTTGTGATTTGTTTTTTGTTTATACAAAAGTAATTTCTGAATAGGGCCGTAATAAACATACTAGAAATTACCACACAGTCTTGCTTAAGTTATTCTTTTGAGGTCACTCAAAAAAAGGTGAGGAGGTTGTAGAACACGCACGTGCAGATGTGGGTTGGTGCATGATGTTTGTGTTTGGATAAACACAATATAAGCAAATATATCCAACCAAAAAAACAAAAGAACCTACATTCTCCCACGAGAGCAACTAATATCATTTAGCTCTACAGAGAAATACCGTAGGCCTACTGTTAATGTTAGTTATGTACCGGTGATGTGTCCACCAGCATCCAGTACCCTCGTGACGACGGTGGCGTCGATGGGGGGCATGAATCCTTCCAGCACACGGGATCCATTCATCATGGGCACACCAGCGACCTGGATGCTATCCTTGATGGCGACGGTGCGACCAGCCAGCAGACCCGTGCATGCACCTCTGATGTCGCACCTCCAGTACCTGACAAACACAATACCTCACAATTATACCTCAGAGCCACTCGCTTATACATGACCTAGGTGTCCGTTTGGGTTCTGTTTTTATGGCTTCATGCAATTGAGATAATTTATATATTATTATCCGTGTGAATGACTACGTTAATATGATCGAGCTAGCTTCGTGGAGTAGATAGGTAATACCATGCGTTGTAGGGGTTGTCCTGCGGTTTGGGTCTGTAACCAGGAGTGCGCGGATACTTGACTTCCGGTATAGGTTCCGTCACGGCTGCCAAGCTCTTGAACGCCCGTAAAACTTCGACCATTTTCTCTGCAACATAAAGATTCTGATGAAACTCCACACAAATCAATGTTTATGATGTTTATCAAGAGTCCATAATAAAGACTATTATGGACTCTTGTTACATATGTAACCATACGCCCATCACTCATTTTGTGTGTGACGCAATTTGAAAGCCATAGGCCAACTATCAAGATCCAAATCACTAACAACTTTCAAGAATTTTGGGAATAATTCAATTGTTGTTTAGAAAAGTTTACCAACATAATTAATATTTTCAGTGATATCCTCAAACGTGGAATATAGAAACTATAATCGAAGGCTAATGATATAGGATATAGTGCATTGCTCTAAGCTATAAATTCATCTACTTGATCATAGAATGGTCAATGAATCAACAATAAGATATCAGATAGGGCTATAGCTAGCGGGGGTGGGGCAGAGAAATATAGATACATTAAATGGTCAATGGCGGTGACCTTCCCAGAACCTACCACGCACGTGGCTTTGCCCCCAGGCATAATGGGTTAGCTGAGCTCCCGTCAGTGATATGTAAGAATTCATATGAGTGTCAGTATTTACCTTTATACGCCTCCAGTTCCTCGTCATTGCAGTCTAATCCGTACTGCAGGGAGATGTGTTGGAGTCGTGACATGGACGGTGCGTTCACACCCCTCACACCCACTGGCATGACTGCATAAAATATGAAATATCATGAATAGATCTCTAATTCTACTCATACAGTTCTGGGAATACTGCCACTAACTCTATTCGCAGGGTTATATATATGCCCACCCGTACATATAGTGTTACATTGTAGATCTGGGCCATGCCCTAACCCTACATCAATATTTCATGCTGCACCCTCCCTACCATGCATGCCCTAGCTAACCCTACATCAATATTTCATGCTGCAC